TCCGTTTTGTACCCTATTACACTTCGTTTGTGTTTTCGTATGTTTCAAGTAGTTTTCATAACTATTTGGACGCTTTCGGAGTATACTAGTTTTGGAAGAATCATACAATTAAATGATGAAAAGTTCATGAATTGAGGTCGTTGAATGAAGTAATATATATGTGGAAGCTAAGCTTAGTTTGAGAATTATAAGCATACTAAGTATGATTAGCATCTACAAGGATCCTTATGCACTTTTCGGGATTGAATTTGAATTTAAACACAAATTTAAACGATGATGAATGAAGTGTCAAAACAGACCTTTGTTCACTCTTTTGATCATAGCTTGAGTTTAACAGATCAGATTAAAGCGTATCAAATTGTGTTGAAACAAGACTTGAAGAGCTTTCCATTGATATGTTGCACACCCTTATACGCTTCCTAGATCTCGAGATACGACCCTTCAGTTGACCCAGTGAAGCTTCCAACCATCGCTCGCTCAGCCATCGGGAGATGGCCGTGTTGTGCGCTAATGCGTGAGATGCTGCTTGGGGAGCTGGTTTTCTGTCCCCCGATGGTTGAGTGTCGTCACTAACCAAGGAGTTCCGACCAGCGGCCACCCATCCCCCGATGGGTTAGGCGTGTGGGCATCAACGAAGAAACCTACATTGACTATGACTCTTTCAATTCAAATCGACCAATCATTAGACGGCCTATGTAAAAGCTATTTTTTCTTATATTATTTTATTTATTTATCATTAGATTAATTTTAGGATAACATAAATATTCCAAGGGATTTTATTTTCCTCTTATGCTTTTTATACCTTTTATTATTTTACGTTCTTTTTAGTTTTCTCTCTACCCTAGTTTTTCATGGACAACTTTATGGATTCCTCCATGGATTTGTCCTTGAGTTTGATACAATAAGTTATTGAGGTAATTTTTATTTATTTACTTTAATTATGTTTTGTTTGTTAGATTTTGTTTTAATTTTTTATTTCATGCTTGAATAGTTTTATTTCTAGGGTTTTAGGAATCCATGTTTATATGATGAATCTTGATTGATGTTATTGATATTTTAATTATTGATTTCTCTACTTGATAGTATTTTATTGTTAATCTTACAACTTGTCAAACCTGATCAATTGTTTGATTAATTATTATTAATAAGAGTTTGAATCGAAAGATCGCACTTTTAAAGGCTTACCTACAATTAGCAATTCAGATTATGTTAGCGACCGAACTACATATGATGATTTGAGAGCGTTAAGACCCGGCCGTAGGCTTAGGAATTGCTCTAGATAATTAATTGATTAAATTATTATTAATATTTGATAGATTAAGAACTATATACAAACATGGTGAACCATAACCCTAGGTCTTTTTATTATTTGTTTTATTCCTATTTTAATTTAGACTATATTTTTATCCCAATTTCGTGACTTGTTTAGTTTCTCTATAACTTAAAAGCTAGATTGAATAGCCATCTCTCTGTGGATTCGACCATACTTACCCTACTACATTATTTGTTGGTTTTGTTAGGAATTTATTTTTGACAGGTGTACGACAACCTATCATCCAACCACCTGGCTAATGTGGCTATGGTGATCCAAAGTTCCATAACTATGTAAGCAAGTTGAACAAAGCCCTAAATGGATTGAAACAAGCCCTCTATGGATTGAAACAAGCCCCTTGGTAAAAATCCTATATCTTGGGGATTAAAAAATAACGCACCTGAGCTCGATCACCTACGAAAGCTGATATGCGTACAGGGTTGTAGCTAATGCCACGGCAGAGGTATTATGGGTACAAATCTTATTCCAAGAGCTTGGTAATACATTTATTTTAGCTCCGGTAATATATTGTGATAATGCGAGAGCTACATATGTTTGCAAATCCTGTCTTTCATTTGAAAATGAAGCATCTTGCATTGGACTAGCATTTTGTTAGGGAAAATGTTCAAAGTAGGGGTGGCAATTGGATCGGGTCGGGTCACTTTCAGGTTCGGGTTAGTTCGGGTTCGGGTTGAAAACCCCCAACCTGAACCTGACCTGTTTAACTTTTCGGGTCAGAATTCTCAACCCGAACCTGATCTTTTCGGGTTCGGTTCAACCCGATTACAACCTGATTTAACCTGATTTTATTTAATAAAAAAGTTAAGATGATAATTTTAAATTTTACTCAGATTTGTCTCCTCAGTCTTCAATTCATTTATTCGTCAATGAAATTTTACAATTTCAGATGGTAAAATATAATACGAAGTACTTCATTTTAAACTGGAACTTCACAAAGTACAAGTTCATATGAAAATTGAAGTTACATTTTCAAAATAAAGCAAAATAAGGCTAATAATTATCAATATGAAGTGTACATTGCATGTATTTTTCGGTTAATCATGAAAAATTCGCAAATTACATATCCTGCAAAACAATAAACTAGAAAATTCACAGGGTAAATACATCCAACAAAAATAAGGATGAATTTTTTGAAATCAACAAAACAATAAACTAGAAATTTTGAAGATGGATAATGTCTGAGTATTGAATGTGATTAATTTCCTCCTTACGTACCACATTCACAACAATCTGTTTTGGCTTCGAAGAGCAAGCTAAGGGTGATAGCAGGAGAAATACTTTGGGCTTACATTCTATTTATTTTTGCTGGGCTTCCCAGTCTTTTTAGTATTATGAAATTAATGTGGGTAAGGATGGTGAAGGGGTGATGTACATTGGGGAAATCAATGATGATGAAATTAATTAGCAAAACAAGTATCATAATAATCACACATATAAATGAACTTATTATATATTCAATGAAGAAGTATTAACAGTGGTTTAGAATGAAAAAATATAATATATATATATATATATAACATATAATATATAATATATAATATGAATAATTATATAATATGTAATATAAATTTTTATAAAAAGTTTAACCCCATTCGAAAGTGTGTATAACTTTTTTTATTTTTTTTTTATGATTTAGACTTATAAGTTGTTCACATTAGATTAAGAATTAGTTTTGACTTAAACTCACTCATAAAAATTCTAGATCAGCCATATTCCTCATTGGAAGATTAAACAAATCTCAAAACTATTAAAAGTTTGAAACATTTGAAGTAATTTCGCAAAACAAAACTCTAACACCAATAATAATAATAGTTATAGTGATAGTAATAGTAATAGTAATAGTAATAGTAATAGTAATAGTAATAGTAATAGTAACTAAATTTGATGTATATAAGTCCAAATTTGATATACAATTTTTTATATTAGATATTTGAAGTTGGATAGGCAAAGGTCGAGGACATGCTTTTGTTAAAAATGATATCATAAATTAAAAAATGTCAAATTAGATATTGAACTTTTGATATCAAATAATGAATTTTACATATTATACATTTCTTATTAGATACTAAAATGTTTATATTAGATATTAAAGTGTTGATATCATATATTAAAATTATGATGTTAGATATTAATAATATGTTAATATTCTGATACCGAAATAATATTATCAGATATTAAAGTGTTAATATCATATTTAAAATCAGAATGTCAATTTGATATAAAATTACTCAAATCTGATAGAAAAAAAAAGAAGAAAAAATCAAAAACTAATATAAAAAATTCAAAATCTGATAAAAAAAAGAAAAAAAAATCAAAATATGATATAAATAGGTTAAAATCTGAAATACAAAGGTCATAATCAAATATACAAAAAGTCAAAATTTGGTGTTATACACTTGACTCACGGTGAGTTTGGTCTCACACAAAATTACTTTAATTTTTATTACGTTCCTTTATAATTGACACATTATTTATAATGGCAAGGACCCCCTAATATTTAATTATTTTCCTATCTTACGCAATGGCTCACTACTTTTAAGGTTTATATTAAAATAATTTCCACCCCACCTCAAATTTTCTACTAACTTTACAATGGCCCATGCACTCTCTATGAATATATAACATTTCACTAACTTCGGTTTACAATAAATACTTCAATAAACTACCCAATTCAAACATTTCTTAAACTTTGTGCCCGTTTCAATATCAATTGATAAGAACATAGGGATTAATTAACTCCTAATTAACTAATTTTATTAACACTTCTTCTTCTTCAAAAAAAAAAAAATATAAGTAACACAAATCCCTACTAAAAAGTAGGAAATTGCTCTAAAGTAGGAAATTGCTCTTATGAATAGTGCACATACCATTATATCCCTCAAAAATGTTTGTTTACCTTTTTATCCCCATTTGTAATTAATTTTATTTTTCTTGAAATCCATCAATTAATAAGAAATTAAATGGAGAATGGATTAATTAAGTTTAGAATTTTCTATATTTAATGGAGGTTATGGTTTAATTACTTGACAACATTAGTCACTGGACAACGAAGGTTGTTGCTTTATGTGGGCGTTATTTTAAAGTAGTTCTCAACTAAAGTTTAGAAAATTACACAACTACACAACATCCAACACATTTATCGTTTATATGCAAATAACTTTGATGAAATATTATACATATAAACCGGCATAGGACATAAATGACATCAATAATAATTCTGCTTAAATGGCTAGCTGGAACCCCTAGTTAATTTTAAAAAGGAAATTTTTTCCCCCTCCCCTCCATTGATTTTGGCCAGGACTACCTACCTCAACCTTGAAACCGGCCACCACCACCCCGACCACCCCACCCCAACCTTTCCATAGCCTACGAAACTCCCCACACAACCCTTGCCCACCCACAAAACACTCCAACTCAGCCCCCACCTCGCAATAACAACAATAAGTCAAAAACTGAATTTGCAAAAAATTGTCGGAAATCCGTTGAATTGAATCGAACCTAAAACATTGGGTTAGGGTTGAGCATTTCTCAACCTATGACATGAGGTAACCCACGCGATCCAAAAATAGCGTGCGATCCGAATTGACCCGACTCAATTGACAGGTTTACCCACACCCGTCAAATTGTGTATTTTGTCATTTTTGTGTCTTATTTACAGTAAGTTTTACTCGTGCACCGTACAAATTTAGCAATTAGCACCGGCCAAATGAATTTGTAAATGCCATGACGAAAGAGCCTGCGCGCATCTAATACCACCAGCTCACGTTCAGGCGTTGAATCTCTTTACGGTTATCGTAAAGTCGGCGAGTCGTCTTCTTTTCCACTCTCCTACTTTCTCTCTCCTCCATTCTCTCTCTCCAATTCTACTACCCGCGCTCAAGACCTAGAACTTTCGGGATCGTCTGTAATTTGATTTCTTCTTGTAAGTTTACCTCTTTTTCAATTCTTTCTTCTTCTATTTATAATTTTTCATTAATTTATACTTGTAATTTTTTGGTAATTTTGATGATTGTTTATTGATATTGATGCTAAATTCTGAGCTGGGTTTTTTATTCAATTGTTGTGAATTTTCTATTTATTAGGTTTAATTTGGGTGTTTTTGCAATTTGTAGAATTTTTACTGGTTTATACTCCATGTTTTTGGGTGTTTGCATAAGTTGTGATTTTGAGTTTCATAATTGGATGTTTTGGACTTAATCAAAGCCCATATGTTTGTAGAAGACACCAGTTACAATTCGACAGTCGTTTCGCTATTGTTTGATCGGGGTATTGTTGGGGGTAATGTAAGGATCACAGGTTTCTTGTATCTTGTTCAATATCTTAGGGTTGCAGGCATTCGAATGATTGTCTTATAACGTTACATTGTCCGTTGTAATGGTTAATCGGCAATTCGTTATGGTAGTGTGGCTAATTCTTGATAGTATTTTATCCCTCTCATTTTGGATATTTTCGAGTACTTCCCATTCGTGCTAAACAGTAAAGCAATTGTGTTGTTGGGTTGAATTGATGATGAGTTTTCGGAGTTTGAGATTACGTGATTTGGGTGTGCCAGAATAAGGTTTATTAGGTGTATTTGATTGTCCTAGGTTGATCTAGTTGGTGCTATCTATGAAATCTGCCGTGCCTGGCTGATTAGAGATTATGAGGTAGTTATTTGTGATCTATTTAGAAGGGATATGCCCACATCTCTGTTAGTTCAACCCCCCAGTTTACTTTGAATGCCTGAATTTATGTTAGACTTATGCTACTCCAACTTTTACTGTCTTACATGTTAGCCTTTTCGATTACTATATTTTATTTGCTATGGGTATGAAATATGCACCTTGCGCTTTAAGTTGGACATGCCATTACGTGGTCGGTATGTGGGAAGAGATATAGTGGTCGGTATATGCCAAACGGTATATGTGGTCGGTATAGTGGTTTGTAAAAGCAAGTATTTAGCTCCTTGCCAAAGAAATTATTGAGTTTTTGTCTTATGCTAACAAAATAGTAGTAAGGAACCTGGCATACATGCAAGATATTTGCCAGTTTATGGCATGGTGTGTGACGTGTGTGGTCTTTTCCTTAATTACATAATTAGGTTGATGTGTAATTCACTTTCTGAATTTCACAATGAAGTAGAACCTCACTTACTTTTGCCTCCCCTTTATGTTTATCTTTGATTGGATAGAGATGATGCTGTGACATTCTGAGGTTTGGAATTTTGGATCGTGGAGGCAATACTATCTAGTTATTTATCATCTCTCTAATCTAGTTATTGCCTTTTCTGCTCTGCTTTCAGCTTTTGTTTAACATGTTTGTTTTAGTTTTTTCTATCTCTCTCTTTCTTTTGCTCAGAAAGTCAGAAGTTTTGAGGACTGCGAGTTCAAAGTAGTTGTGGAGACTGGTGCATTATTTTGAGGGAAGCGGTAGTTCATATGATTCTGAAGGTTAGAGGAAGGCTTCCTTCCTTAATTTTGGTGGGCCTATTATTGGAAATTGAATCATCTGAGGGAGGTTCATCTAATCTAGTTATGGCCTTAATTTTGATGGCCCTTGTTAGGTGGACAATGCACTAAAGACAACTCTTTCTTTAAGCAGGAAAGCTTTATAGATACTTGATAGTGATTATAAAGGCTCTTTAGATATGTCTTTAAGAAAGGAGTACAATCTTTCTGTTATTGATATGCTAGAGAGCTTTGTTTAAGTAGTTTTTTTAGAGTAATGCCAGAAGGTTTTAAACAGGAGATTCCAGGGTTACCAGGTTTTGTTTGATGTTTCAACATGGAGTTGTATAGTGGTGGTGTATCCTAACTTATGTAAGTCTTCCATCTTTTCTGTGTGTAAAGCATTGGAAGTGTATATAGACCGTTTTAGTCAAGTCGTCAAGATCAGGTTCCAAATTGCATCTAATTAAATGTAAATTGATCATTTGAGAAGCCAAGTGGAGATTTACAGGTAAGGTAATGGTGTCCTCTGGAAATGATTTTTGACCAATTGTCTTTGCAACTTAATTCAAATACCTGGGAGAACTTAAGAGTGGTTTGACTTAATATTTCTGGTGCACCGGAGTTGTTGGTAGTTGCATTAGGCTTAAACATTCCTTTGGTCTCAATTTTGGCCGATGAGCTCTCAAAAGATGTTTAGATTTTAGTTTTCAATAATAGGATTTGGGGACTGCTGTTATTATTGCTTCTTTCTTCTTTTGTAGTACTGCCGAGCTTTATTTCCCTTTTGTGATCTTACCTGAGTGTCATTCGCTTTTGGTTCTGGGTTATGTTTAGCATGGCAGGGAGAAACCGTATGCCTCGCCATCCTGTTAATCCACATGGTTTTAGAGATGGCCCTAGGCCATTTTTTAACAGAGGACCAGGACCTCTACCTGTTTATCCTGTGGCTCTGGAGGAAGAACTTGATATTCAACACAGCGAAAACCAGAGGATTGCTGCTGAAAATCGGCATTTGCTTGATGAAAATGTGAATCTTGAAAGAGACCTGCATGCTGCTAAAGATGAAATTCACAGATTGGATGAGCTCATTAATAAACTTCGAGCTGACCATGATCTTAAGTTTAGGGGTTTTATTGAGAAGAATTTGAAGATAGAAGCTGATCTACGTGCTGCTGAGCCTCTTAGAGATGAAGTGATGCGTCTTAGAGCTGAAGCTCAGAAGCTGAATGTTCTGAGACAAGATTTGACTGGTCAAATTCATGGTCTCACTCAAGAAATAACCCGTATCCGTTCTGAAAATAAGCAGTTGAGTGCTTTGAGATCTGATGTTGATGGCATTCGCAACAAACTAGCTGAAGCCAGGTTGACAATTTATCTAGTCTATTCTTTCCTTTTTTGCATGCAAATTAGTAAGTCTGCTTAGCCCAAACCTACGAATCAATATGCCTATTTAGGGAGACACGTTGGAATTAAATTTGTTTAGCATAGGAATCAATATGCCTATTTTGGGGGACATGCTGGAAGTAAGTTTGTTTAGCACAAATCTTGGGATCAGTATGCCTCTATGCCTGTTTAGGGGGACACATTGGACCCTAGCACATTACATTTGGCTGATCCTTTAGAGTTCTGCATAATTCACAATTCACTAGTCAGTACTATTTGGCTAATGGCCAACAACTCTATCATAATCCAATAAATCCGAGTTAGCGAGAGCCAATAAGTTTCTCATTTAAGCCTTATTTGGTTTAAGAAAATGTTTTCAATAGAATACACGTTTCCATAGAAAACACTTTTCAGGAAAAACACAATTATTCTGTTTAGGTGAAGATGGATGGGAAGGGAGAAATAGGAAGGTCTAGTGAGGAAAATGTGACTTCCCATCCTTATAAAGGATAGTGTACTTTACCCTTTACAAACCTAACACAGGAAAATGGTAATTCCCTTTTCTTGTTCATGTTTTCTCCCCCTACCAAACACTCTTTAATATTCCTCTAATACTGTTAAGATATGAGAAGCTGATGTCTCATTGATGATGGGGGAATTAACAAAAAAATTTTAGTTTGACTCTGCATTAGATAAATTATTGAAAAGAATTTTAAATTTAGAAAAAAAAAAAAAAAATATATATATATATATATATATATATATATATATATATATATATATATATATATATATAAGAGCTTACAAGGGTTTGATTGTGGGTGATAGTTGCTAGCTGCCAGGGTTATGATTCAGTTCCAATGATTTTTAAGGCTTATGATGAACAACTTTGTAGTGTTCTCAATCGGGTTAGTACCAAATAATGCAGAACTCTCAGCATCTTGTCTAGGACTCTACGCTGTGGTACTTGATCTATATTCGTGATTGGCTTAACTTCACACATACCAAGGGGAAATAACTCTGCAAATGTCCACGGCTTCTTTTACTTTTTCATCTTTATTAAAGGGTGGGATCTCTTTGGTACCTTCCATACTCAAATGTGGGCAATAGCCTGTTTCTTATCTTGTCAAGAATACTGCTCAGCTTGATGTCATATATATGAAACAATTAGTGATCTCATCTTTTTGCTGATTTCAAGTGCTCTTTAAGTTTTTGGCTAAGTTCATTCCTGTATTATATTTAGGAAAGCTTTGGAATATGAAAAGAAAGCAAATGCGGAGCAGGTGCAGCAGAAGGATTCAATGGAGAAGAATCTCATGTCAATGGCTCGTGAGATTGAAAAGCTTCGAGCAGAGCTGCTGAACGTGGATAGGAGAGGAAATGCACTTGGTAACTGGCTAAACTTCTTTTGTAGTATTATTACAGTTATTAGTATGGGTGATTGTCACCTTCTGTTGATGCCTGGAATATTTACAAAATTGATTTAGCTAGAGTTTTCCCTTTGTTTTTACTGAAACACATTTATGAATGTTTACACCAGAATTCTCTATAAATTATTCGACTTTATTTGTGGTTGGTTATTCGGGGCAACCTATTCATTCTACTTGTTTCTGTGTCTCAACCACCCCACTCCTAACTGATACAGCTTTCTGTAAACTTGAGTGAACGTGTTTCCTATATGTTCACTTAAGTTAAAGGACTAATTTCAGCATCTTGCTTTATGTGTTTGAATTTCGCAATAGCTGAGCTTTTTAAGGTATTGTACACCTGTATTTTCTTTTCTGAGATATCATCTGGCTTCTTTCTTTTAGGTGGTGGCACCAGCTATGCTATGTACAATGGATTCCCAGATACGAGGTATTCAGGTGGAGGATCATCTGCTGATGGGTATGGTGGAGCCTGGGGCCCTTATAATAAGCGTCCCAGACATTGACTTCCAATACCTCTGACTGGCATCTGAAAATGTGCTTACTGATCTTGGTATAGCTATTCGCTAAGCGGAAAGGAAGAGGAAGGGAGAGAGAGAGAGAGAGAAAAAGGGAGGGGGTGGGGGGGGGGGGGGGTGTGGGTGGAGTGGGGGGTAGTTATGAGATGGATGTACCCTTTGCCATGTATTCCTCCTCTTTTTTACCCTAAAAAAAAAAAAGTAAAAGTGGCTTTAATTTTACAGGTTCTAATTGTTAACTAAGCCTTTACAATGTCATATATCCTCCTGACAAGTGATTTAAGCTGTAAGATAAAGTCTATTTAGTTTCATTGGTCTATGTTTGCTTCATACTTGTGCTGTTGGGTGATTGGTTACTGCTTCTAATGATGCTAGATTTATGAAACAGCACTGTTGTGATAGTAATTTAAGCCTGAGCAAGAATGCGAGCTTTCAGAAGTCGTTTTAAATTTCTTATACTGTTTTTATGGCTGATCTACTATTACGGAGTATTATTTATTAGAGATCATCAATCATTGAAAAACATGGAGTGTTACTCTGAAATAACCCATGTATAAGAAGGAAGATAGTGAGCAGACTCTGAAATAACCCATGCTATGATGAGAAATTCGTTGCTGGCTTCAAAGAGGAGACTATTAAGGAAAATAGGTACTTGTATAGTTGTATATGTGAGAGTTCTTTGATGTCTAGTCAAGTCAAATTAATTGTTGAAATTTCCATGGAAAATTACTAGAATATGATAATACAATTACACTAGCGAGTCGTCATGGGTCATGTCATTCAACAAATTAACGCTTCAAAAAGTGACAAAAGCATAGCCTTAGTCCTTGGACACCAAGTAAGACTGCTAAAGGAGAAAATTCACGACAATCAGTTGAACAACCGTCTTCGTTGAATTGTTGCATATCAAATGTTACCAACTTTTTATTATGGACCATCATGGTTTTTTCTTGGAACCCAAGTTCATACATCTCTATAAATATGAGTATAGTTTGTTGGTTATATTCATATACACACAAGAGAAACAAACATGGAACAAGCTGGTCCAAGTCTTGCTGAAATTTACGTGTTGCGAAAGCTGGAAAAGAAGAAAACAGAAGATCTGAAGAAGAAGATTACAAGTACTGGGAATGAAGATGGCGATACCGATGAGCAAATGCAAAGTGGTTGCTTATCATGGTTCCAAAAGAAGTTACACCCGTCTTCTTTGCCTCCTACCATAAGCTAGCAAGTCCCAAATTTGCATATGATGATATTTTTTAGGGATTCAGAAACTACATCTATGATGCAACCTTTTACCTATCCTATTATTTAGGCATTTTCAAGTTACGTACCGAAGAAAAAGTCTACCAAAAAGTTGGTTTTATGACGCATGGAGTTGACAATCAACAGAGACTATGAGTAGAATCTAACCAAGCTTATTTTGGAGGATTTGTGAGATGTAAAGTTCTTTCGTACTAGGATAATAATAAATAAAGCAAAAATCATGAATATATATATTGTAACTTTGTAATCAAGCCTTAGATGCTCGTGGCCTACATATCGAAATCTATCACTTGTTTAATTTGTTTATTAGTTTTTCTTTTTCCTTGATGTAATTACAACTCTTGGTTTTGAATATAAAAATTAAAAAGTGTTTATCCTCTCTCTTTATACTACAAGCCATTTATAGAAAAAGTATTGAGAGTTTATACCTTATCATATTGTGTTTGAATTAAAGGAAATAAAGGGAAGAGAAATGGGGAAATGAGGTATCTTTTATTTGGATAACAAATGAGGAAGGGAATTGAAAGGGAGAGAAATGAACGGATTATATTGTAGGAAATGAATCCCTCCAGCAATAGAGAGATTTCACCATTTTTCCCTCCCCGGCCATCATTCAAATACACAGAGAAAAAAAAAGAAAAACATAATTAAATTAACTACAATCTTAGGCGGAAGAATTAATGGCATAGGATCGGAGCCTTACAAGAGGTTAACAATCTCATGGAATTACATATTGCATAAGATTAAGGGGGCGTTTGGTATAAATTCCATAAACGAAATGGAAATGATTTATATAAGTAAGGGAAAGAGTAATGATACACGTTACCTTTGACATATGTTTGGTATTTTTATAAAATGAAAACAAATTGAGGAGTTTATGATTGAGGAGGGAAACACATTTTGTTTCCACTAGTTGGATAAGGGTAACAAAATGGGGGATTTTGTTACCCTTTGAAAACGGTATTTGTTACTTATAACTCATACCAAACTAATAGAAACAGAAACACTTATTTGTTTACGTTTCCTATGTTACAAATTTTCATACCAAACACCCCCTAAAAGTGTATGTTACTGGTGCCAAAATGTTTTAAAGATGCTATTTCGTGTGGAGGTTTATGGAATATTTGACCCTTATTGATATTTGGAGCTTTTTGTTACATCATCTTGGAAAATAACAATAGTATCATATTGTGTCAAAAAAAAAAAAAAAAAAAAAACAATAGTATCATAAACTTGTTCACATAAATGATAATATAGTGAGGGTCAAATTTAAAGGAATTTTAATGGATAGGGCAAAGCTTTTATTGGGTAAAGTTAATATAGGGCTAAAATATTTTTCCAATTTAATTGATAAAGAAATAGATAATGTAAAAATAATTACATAGATAAATTTGTAATCATACTTAATAATGGCTTTGTCTAATGTTTATTTTAATTGATATTTTGTAGGCCTGCCCATTATTGACCCGTGACCCGCATTGACCCGATTCAATATTAACTTTATAAAATGTGACCCTTTTTTACCAGACCCGCAACCGACTTGACCCGCCGGCCCGCCCAATAATCAGGCCTACTTAAATCATTATTTTTCATTACAAAATACAAAACACTTGATGATAATATCATTATATTTTTCAAGAGAAAGTACGGATGATTACTACCCTGTAGTAAAGTATTAATATCCTATTAGTTCTCTACTAGTAGAGTACTAGAGTTTAGAGTATGACATTAACCATCATACTAGTCGTCATGGCTCATGTCATTCAAAAGCTTAAGACTAAAATTAAAATAGGTCATGTATAGCCTTGGGCACCAAGTTAGACAAAGCACAACAACCATAATAATGATATTATATGTTAAAAAACTACATTATTGTGGGCCCATCATAATATTTTCTTGGAGACCAAGCCCATACGTCTTATAAAAGAGAAGCCCATAATATAATCATAAGTACTTGTCTCCTTAATTTACGTACCAAATTTTGTAGGTTCATTCATTTTCATTAACAAGATCTAATAGTGAGACGAGTTTGCTAAAACTAGAGTAAAAAATGGCACAAATAGCCGAAGTTCATGTGTTGCGAATGCTGGAAAAGCAGAAAACAGAACTCAGGAAAGCGGAGAGAATGAAGAACACTACTACTACAACTACTCGTACTACGACGACTACAAGTAGTACTAGGAGTGAACATGATAGCACAGATGATGAAAGTGAAAGGCAAAGTAGTAAGTTGAAAAGTGGTTGCATATCTTGGTTCCGAAAGAAGATACATCCTTCTTCATTGCCTCCTACCAAAAGCTAGCTAGCGAGTATTACATTCGCCCCGATCCCATAGCTCCCAATGCCCCTTGCTAATGTATATAATCAAGTTTTGCTACGCCAATGATGGAGATGAATACTCCATCAAATGCAGTTTTTGTCAAACTGAAAGTTGCAAGTAAAATATTTTTGTATTGTAATTTTGTAAGCTATTGTTTATCCGTTAGTTTTGTTTTGTTTGTTTTTGTAGGAATATGTTCCGTGCCTTCTCATTGCTTAGTATGTGAGTATATATACAGAGTACATTGGGAATGATTATCAATTATAGTAAATACACAACTACACATTTACATAGGCTAATACACCCCCGCAGTCGTAGCGGGAGGTAATCGAACGCTAAGGCTGTTACGGAAGCCCCTTGGTGAAAATATCGGCTATTTGATAACGAGAGGGGACATGGAGAACTCGAACCTGTCCGCGGCTGACCTTTTCCCTGACGAAATGGATGTCCATTTCTATATGCTTTGTTCGTTGGTGCTGCACGGGGTTGCTGGTGAGATAAACTGCACTGACGTTATCGCAGTAGACAACAGTGGCCTTGCGAATGGGACACCGCAATTCCAGCAGTAAGTTGCGAAGCCAGCACGACTCAGCCACCACATTTGCCACGCCGCGGTATTCGGCTTCGGCGCTTGAACGAGAGAGGGTTGGCTGGCGTTTGGCAGACCACGAGATGAGGTTGTCACTAAGAAAAACGAAATAGCCCGAGGTAGACCTCCTTGTGTCGGGGCAGCCACCCCAATCGGCGTCGGTATAGGAGATCAAAGCCGAGAGAGAGGACGAGTAGAGGTGCAGTCCGAGCTTGAGGGTGCCTTTTAAGTACCGAATGATGCGTCTTAGAGCTTGCATATGCTCTTGACGAGGGTCATGCATGAAGAGACATATTTGTTGCACCGCGTAGGAGATGTCGGGGCGCGTGAATGTGAGATATTGGAGGGCGCCTACTAGGCTACGGTAGAGAGTTGGATCCTCAACAGGGGGACCTGAAGTCGCACTTAACTTTGCCTTAGAATCGACCGGAGTAGAGCAAGGATTGCAAGATGACATATTGTCTCTAGCAATGATTTCTTCGACATATGATTTTTGAGATAAAAATAGGCCATTTGCATGATGAGTAACCGAAATACCGAGAAAAGAATTGAGGATACTGAGATCCTTCATTGCGAATTCGGAGTGAAGCTTGGCCATGATAGACAACTGAAGAGCTTTGGATGATGTGGTGAGAATTATGTCGTCGACATATAGGAGTATGTATGCAATTTCCTTGCCATGTGAGTATATGAAGAGGGAATGATCGGATTTGCTGTGAATAAACCCGATGGTGGAGACAAAGTTGGCAAATCGGCGGTACCAAGCTCTTGGGGCTTGTTTCAACCCGTAAAGTGCCTTTTTGAGAAGACAAACATGAGAGGGATTTCTAGAGGCCCGGTGGTTGGTGCATATAAACCGTTTCGTCAAGACTACAATTTAGAAAAGCATTTTTAACGTCCATTTGATGAATGGGCCATGACTTGGACAAAGCAACGCTTAGGACGGTTCGGATGGTAGCGGGCTTGACCACGGGACTAAATGTTTCATCACAGTCCACATCAACCTGTTGATTCCTGCCATTAACAACAAGACGGGCTTTGTGCCTCTCAAAATCACCATTAGCATTTTTCTTGTGGCGATATAGCCCCATACAAGGTATAACATTAACATTTGGCGGGCGGGGCACCAACTCCCATGTCTTATTTTTAATTAAAGCATCAAATTCATCAAGCATGGCATTTTTCCAATTCATGTCGGATAGGGCAGCAATTGGATTTTTTGGAAGAAGAGAAGGGGTGGAAAAAGCAGTTAAGTTGAATTGGCGTTTGGGCTTAAAGATCCCATGAGTGCTTCTTGTAGCCATTTTTGGTGGAGGTGGGTTGCTGCGGATTTGGTCCTGGGCTGGTATGGAAGGCCGTGGGTAATCAGGAGGTATTGAGGTGGGAGTGGTGATAGTGGGCTGTGAAGGGGAGCCCACTTGCTGCTGGGCTGAGCCTGACGGTGAGGGAGGTGGGTTTGGGACATGGACAGTGGGAATGGGATTGGCAGGTTGGGCTTGACTCAAGTGGTGGATAATATGAGGAGAGGGCCCAACATCTAAGAAGTCATAGGTATGGGCTAAGGGAGTGTGAATTTTAGAGAATGGGAATTGTGTTTCATCAAAGATCACATGCCTAGAGACAAAAATTTTGTGAGTAGACATGTCGTAACATTTGTAGCCACGATGGTTTGGAGGATAGCCAAGTAACACACAAGGAGTGGAGCGGGCTTGGAGTTTATTTATGGAAGTGGAGGGGAAGAGAGGATAGCATAAACATCCGAAAACCCGTAAATGAGAGTATGATGGGTCTTTGTGGTAGAGAACTTGAGTTGGAGATTTAGATTTGATAGTTTTGGAGGGTAGGATGTTATGGAGATATGTGGCCATTTGAAGGTCATGATGCCAAAAAGAGGGAGGCATGGATGAGTGAGCAAGGAGGGTGTGGACCATGTTATTTATGGTTCTTATTTTTCGTTCGGTCTTGCCATTTTGGGAAGATATGTGGGGACAAGAGAAGCGGAAGAGCATACCATTTTGCTCACAAAAAATACGAAAAGACTCATTGTCATACTCCTTTCCATTGTCACATTGAAAACATTTAATTTGTTTCTCAAATTGGGTAGTGACATAGGCACGAAATTGCATAAAATAGGAGTAAACTTGAGATTTTTTGCAAATAGGGAAAGTCCAAAGAAAGTTAGTAAAATCATCCAAAAATAGCACATAGTACATATGTCCGGCCGAACTAACTTTTGGGGACGTCCAAAGATCACTATGCACAATATCAAAAGGCATGCAAGTAGTTGACATAGATGGATAAAATGGCAATTTCACATGTTTACCAAGAGGACATGAAGAACAAATAGAAGCATTTAAAAGTCTATTACATTCAACAAAATTGTTCTTTCTAAGAGTTTGCAAAATATTAGTGCCGGGGTGGCCGAGGCTATCATGCCAAAGAGAGGGGGAGATTGCGGGAAATGTGGAAGAGCAAAGGGCAGTGGGTGCGGCTTTGGTGAGTGGGTAGAGATCACCGGAGCTCTCACATCGCAAAATGGTTGTCCCCGTCGGAATGTCCTTCACAGAAAAACCAAACGGGTCAAACTCAATTAATACCCAATTATCAAAAGTGAATTTTCTAACCGAAATCAGATTTTTAATTAACTTGGGAGCATGAAGAACATTATTTAGGGATAAGGGAGGTAGAGGTGGGGGAAGAGAGGTGTTGCCAATGCCATGAATTGGAATAGAATGCCCACTACCAACAATTATATTACGATGAATGTTGCTCAAATTAGAATAAGATTGGAGAGTACCTTGGTTTGAAGTCATATGGGAGGTGGCGCCGGTGTCCATGTACCACCCCTCGTCCGGCGGAGTGAGGGAAAGAGTGTGAAGAGCACTTTCGATGTCGGTTGGAGCATAGGTTGAAGGAGGAGGTGTGTGGGCAGAGAAAGCTTTCGGTTGTGGCCTAGGTCCCAGTACACCTTGCTGGCGCGGCCCAGAAGGGCGAGTCCATGAGGCTTTTGGGTAGGGACATGGTGGAGCAGCCCAATTTTGCTGAGCCCATGGAGCCCATGGTGGGTATTGATGTCAAGGAGCCCACGATTTCCATTGTTGCTGTTGTTGATTGTTGTTATTATTACCACCGCCGTGGCTATGCTGTCCACCCCCGCGGTGGTTGTTGTTCCGGCCGCGGCCACGACCGCCGCCGCCGCGGTGGCGACCTCCACGACCCTGAGATTTGTGTCCACGGTGAGATGAGCGATTTTGCGAGTCAGAAGCAGGGGAGGGGTCATTGTGATATGAAGCGGAGTCGGTTCCAGCCTAGCAGCTATGAGGGCGGAGCCAGCCACAATTGCTTCACTGGCAGCTTGGTCCGCAAGATGAGACTCTTCGAGGGTGAGCATGGACCGTGCCTTATAGAAGGAAGGCAGAGGGTCTGATTGGTGGAGGATAGTAGCAACACCGTCATAGGATTTCGGAAGACCGCGAATAAGGGTTAACACCAAACGATGGTCGTTGACCGGAGCACCAACATTAGCAAGTTGGTCGGCTAGAATTTTTACCCGTTGACAGTAAGCATAGACATTAGGGAAGTCTTTCATCTCGATGCTAGAGAACAATCCCTCCAATTGCACCGCACGAGAGCTTTTGTTATCTTGAAAGATATCACGAAAGCGTTCCCACGCTTGTTGAGCCGTGGAATCTGGGACCAAGATGGTTTGAAGAAGGTCGTTGGATATAGTCCCATATATCCATTGAAGCACAATAGCATCAAGGCGCTTCCAAACAGCTGGGTCGGCTGGTTCTTCTTTGTCAGGAGGTGGGATAATGTGATCGATAAGGTCGTATGCATGTGCGTGAACCTTAAATAATTTAGCCCAAGAAGAATAGAGAACATTTTTTCATTTCCAATGTAATGGGGATGACACTTTTGATGTTATTGACGGCTATAGCAGGGTGAAAAGGGAAAGATTTTGGCTGTTCTTGGGCCATGGCAGCAGAAGAAGAGAAGAGGATGGGAGGCAGAAAGCAGAGAAGAGATGAGAAGGAGGAGACGAAAAGACAGGAACCCTAAACCTTGTCTGATACCATGTAGGAATATGTTCCGTGCCTTCTCATTGCTTAGTATGTGAGTATATATACAGAGTACATTGGGAATGAAAATCAATTATAGTAAATACACAACTACACATTTACATAGGCTAATAGTTTTGGTTGATGTAGCTTGTAAAGTTGTAAGTATTGATATTTGTATAATGTTTAGTTATTCAAAACTCAACTCAGTCCAAAGTATTAGTCAATGGTCATAAATCAACATGTTTTACAGAATTAAGAAGTTGATCATTATTTGTGATTAATTATACAGAGTACTTTTTAAGATTAAAACCGGAGTACCTATTAGACCTGGCAAATGGGTCATTTGGGTCGCGTATGGGTCGGGTCAAGTTCGGATCAAAAGGTTATCGGGTCAAGTTCGTGTCGGGTCGGGTCATTTCGGGTTTCGGGTTGATTTTGGGTCGACTAATAATCGGGTCTCGTGTCAGCACTTCGGGTCGGGTCAAGTTTGGGTCGGGTCAGTTTGGGGCGGGTTAATTTTCTGGTCGGGTCAGTTCGAGTCAATTTTTGAGTCCAATTTTCGGGTCAACTTCGAGTCGAGTAATATTCGGGTGATTCATTGGTTAAATTCAACTCTATACATATATTTATTTATTTATTGACGGAAAACTCAATATACTAGTATTTATTAAGGCTATTTTTTCATGGAATATAGTAATTGTTTGACTTTTTTTGTGTGTGTGTTTAGACTCGGAATCAATTTCAGGAACTCATGAAACTAAGAGGGATGCTCTAACTAATTGAGTTATACCTCACTCTCTTATTGATCTTAGTTTTAATACTCCCTCCGTCCCAAATTACTCTTAGCGATTTAACATTTTGCACTATTCACACATCTCACTTTGACAATTTTTTTTTAGCTATTATATGAAAGTCAATGTAGTCACGTAAGATATTGTTGGGTCTATTATGTATAATTTCCTATTATAAACTTTTTGTAACTTATATAATTATTTACTAAAAGAAGTTAAAGGTTGGGTCATTTTCGGGTCTAGGCAACATCGGGTCAGGTCGTTTCAGGTCTTGGGTCAACTTTAGGTCGGGTCGTTTTGGGTTGGGTCATTTTGGTTCTCAAGTCAAGGTCGGGTCAGTTCCACTTCGGGTCGGGTCGGGTTGATTCGGGTTTTGGGTCAATTTCGGGTCACTGGTTTCGAGTCATTCGGGTCGGTTCAGGATTAGGATTGCCATGTCTAGTACCTATTAACATTAATAAGATTTGCAAAGTCCTGCCATTTAAAAATACTCATTTTGCCAAGGGTAAAATCACTAAAATGTAAGAAGTGGTGAAAGGGTGGCATCTTCACTATTGATGCTTGTGAATAGGAGGTGAGACAAAAATGATCAAAGCGGAAAGAATAACGTGAAACAAAGGGAGTTACTACTGACTAGGGAGCAAGTGACAAAAGAATAGCAAACATATCAAGATGTTTATAGGAATTGCACAAGTAAACTAATGTTTAAAAACAAAAACATTACAAATCAAGGTTTGTCTTCA